TGGCGCCGCGACGTGGGCAGAGGCGGCCCGACTGGGAGGTGGCCCATCAGTGATTGGGGCCTGCTGGCGCTTATTGATAATGCCGGCAGTCGCGCCGGTTATTCGAGGCAAATTGGCGCAGGCGTTGCGATTATGGGTGCGCATCGTAATTGCAGTGCGCGCGCAGTCCGCAGACCCCACAGCTATTCCTACAATGATGCGTTTTTGGGCCCCCTCCCCGGAGCATCCTGGCAAAGGTGGTTCGTCGCTGGGCAGCCCCGTTCTGGACGAGGTGGTTTGGTCTTTCGCGGGCGCGCCAGTGTGTCCCGCTGCCCGCGCCGATCCTGCGTTGCCTGTTTTGCGTTGACTTTTCGGCTTGGCATACAGGGCTGTCTGGGCTGCAGTCTGCAGTTGGGCGTGCTGTACCTTGCCCTTTGGGCCTGCCTCGTGGCTCCATTTTCGTTTCTGGACTGCTGTTCGCCTGCCGGGTTGCTGGCCGCTTCAGGTCTTGAGAGCACTGTTTTGCGTCGCCACCCTGCCCCGTCGCGGCGGCTACGGAGCGCGGGACGTGGACGTCTGGTGCGCTCTTCTCGCGCGCCTTGCAACAACCACTCCGCCTCCCCCCTCCTGTTGCGCTCCAGTCACACAGCTATTACCACGCTCGGTCGCCGGCGGAGCGCTGCGTGCACGTTCGCTTCCTTGCTGCTGCTCTGCTCGTGGCCAGCGCCGGTTCGAGTCAGCTCCAGGGCGTTGCTGGCGGCTCTGGTTGGTGCTTGCGCGGGGGTGCCCGCAATCGCCGGCGCCGTCGTGCTCTCCCCGGTGCCGCTTGCTGTGACGGGGCCCTACGCCGGACTTGCAAGCGAGCCTGGCGGCTGCGGGGTCAAAGGGCTTGCTCTCTGTGCCCCCGTGCCTGCCTCGCTGACTGTCCGCGCTTCCTCTTGCTCCGCCCCGTTCGGGCGACGAAATCTATACATATCCACTGCTCCCTGACCATGCCCATCCTGAACCCAGGAGCTGTGTATACGCCCTCCTGGCCAAGCCAGGAGGGCCTCGCGTAGACACTGCTGCCAGGCTCACGATGGGCCTGGCCAGGGAGCAGTGGATATGTATAGACTTCGTCGCCCTACCCGTGTCGTTGTTCCTGTTGTTCCTGCGTCTTGTTGTGTCCCAGTTTGCACGCGTCGTGGGGCACCGCGCAACAAACTCGCCTGCGAGCCTGGCGGTTTCGCAGCAAAAGGCCTTGATCTCTGTGTCCCCGTGACTGTCTCACTGTCCGCGCGCCATTTGCTCTGCTGCGTTGTTCTTCCCGTCGCCCTGGCGCCGTGCGTAACGACCGTCGTGCCGTGCTGTGTTGTTTTCATTTTCTGTCCTACGCAGCGAAAGCGTTGGGCCGGCCGCGCGCGCTGGGCGCACGCCGGAGCCCGCAGCCCCCGCAGCGCAGGCGACCTACCTCTCCGCAGGGTGGGGGGGGGAGCAACAGGCGCGGCCGCGCGGGCCGCCTCCCGTTTGGCAGAGGTCTTTCGCTCCATTTGTGGGCCGTGTTGGGTCGGGGCTTGCTCCGGGAACTTGTGCTGTTGCTTCGGGGAGCGTAAGACCCGGGTTTGCCAGGACTCGGGTTCGCCATTCTTTTTTTGACGACCGCGACTCGGATTTTGACGAGTAGGAGTTCCGTGGGATGTTTGCAGCGGGAGGCCTCGTCAAAATGCAGGCTCGGCCTCGTCATTTTTGTTTGACGACCTCGTCGGGGATTTTCGAGTCCCCCGTACCCGGGTCTTACGTCTCCCCGATTGCTGTGCTCGGCCGCGCCGCCTACGTGACGCCAAGTTCCCCGGCAACAGAATTGGCCAGGATGTGTTGCGGGGGGGGGGGTCGCCGCGCGTTCGCGAATGGTCACGTACTCTTGGCACGCTTCCTTCTATGCTTGGTCCCTGCTCTGCGCTTTTTGAAAGCCGACTGGGTTTGCGCTGTTTGCTTGTCTGGGGGATCTTTGCCCTTTGCCCTTCTTGTTACGTTGCTTGCCTCGACAATCTTTCTCGCTCTCCTGCTCTCGTCCGCTTGCTTGTCTGCTGGTTGCGCGCGCAGGGCCTCCGCTTTGCCGCCTCTCTCGGGCGAGGGGGTGGCGCTCTTTTCGATGGCACAAGCCGTCGCCCTGGCTAGCAAGGAAGCGGGCGGGTTGGCGCGATCGACGAGTCTGCTACATCACCCTCGTGTGCTTCTCTGAAGGGCGGGGGGGGCCACATCGTAGACGGGGGCCTCCTGCGCCCCGCCTCGCTCGCGTCTGTCCGAGGGTGCGCCGCGTTGGCCCGCGTGCCGACTGCGGGCGGCGCGCGGCTAGCGTCGGTCCTAGCGTCGGACCGGCGGCCGCCGAGGCGGAGGCCCCCCCTCCTTAAAAAAAAGCTGGGACCCAACGGGGGAAGCGACGCCGAAGGCTGCGCACCCCGCACGGCTCGAAATCCTTTCCTGAGTTCTGCTTCTTGCAGCTGATGGGGCTTCGATATTTTCCCAGGGGGGCCGAGAGGAATATCCCAGAAAGTGCGCTGTGGAACGGATAGCCGCAGTCGCTCCGGGCGCCGGCGCCGCGATGATAGCCGCAGTCGCTCCGGGCGCCGGCGCCGCCGCACCCCATTGCGGCGTCGCCCCAGCTCCACGTCATCTTGTAGTCCTACGCCACTGGCAGAGTCGGCGGTGGAGGCCCCATCGCCCGGCCGGGAGGGCGTCCCTGGCCCCCTCAGCCCGCACACGCCCCTGCAGCGCCCCCCCGGCGTCTGGGACCACCCCGAGTTCCCTGGCGTCAGCACCAAAGCTGTGGGCACGCCCCAGGCGCAGCCCGCCCTAGGCTTCTCCTCCCAGCTGGGGTCTCCAGTGCCACGGTCCCCGGCGACGCCAGTCAGGAGAGCCCGCCTGTCTCCGGCGCCTACCTCGCCTGGCCAGGCGCTCCACAGCTCGCCAGGTCCGCCGCTCCATAGCCCGCCAGGCTTGCCACCGGGCTGGGAGTCCAAGCGCGACCTCGCGGGCGCCCTTTTCTTCTTCAACCGGGCGACTAACGAGTCTCAGTGGGAGCACCCGGCGACGGCGCCGCCACCGCCGCCGCCGCCGCCGCCACCCCCGCCCTCGCGTGAGCCCGCCCACCCGAGCGTGCCCGCCAAGCCTGCCCCTGCCTCCACCCAGCCGGCTGTGGTGGCGCTGGCGCCGTCTCCCGCCAGCGTGGCGCCAGTCCTGGGGCCAGGCCCCCTGCCGCCTACCCCGGTCGCGGCCGCTGCCCCGGCCAACAGCGAGGCGTCCAGTGCTCTCAAGGCGGGTTCCCCCGTTCCTGGCCCGCTGGGCGCGTCCCGCGAGGAGGAGCTCAGGCAGATCAGGCTGGAGCTCGAGGCTCTCCAAACCGAGCGCGCCCAGTGGGACGAATTCACCTCATCTTCCACTGGGTTGAAGTTCTGGTTCCACGTGGCGTCGGGGACCATCGCGCCCACGTGCCCCCCAGAGCTCCTCCAGCGCGCGGCACGCAGCTCCGCCCTCAAGGCCAGGCTGGAGGCCTTGTCGTCGCCGGGGGCCGCGTCTGGCACGCATGCGAGCCCATGCCTGGAGTCGGGTCCGGCTTCCCGTCCGGGCGGTTCCGCCGGAGCCGTCCCGCCTTTGGGCCATGCTTCGCCCTCCCCGGCTGCCCCTCATGGCTTGCTGCGTGAGGTACCTGAGGAACCCGGCGTGCCCCCAGTCAGTGGTCCCTACTTTGCCGGTAGCCCTTCGGTCCCTGCCAGCCTCCCCAGCAGCGGCGGTCCAGCGGCATCCACCCCATCCTGGGCGGCTGGCCAGCCGCCGGGCCCCGGCGCGGCTGTGAGCGCGGCAGTATCGGCCCAGGTGCATGCCAACTCGGCTCCCGCCGCGTCCCCCGCGCCGTCTCTTGGCTTGCCCCCTGGCCCGCCGCTCCCTGCGAGTCTAGTTAGGTTCCACTCGCGTGCTGGACACGAGGAGGCCGTGTCCAGCTGGCTCATGCGGCTGCGGCAGACAGTGGGGAACCATAAAGACCCGAGGCTGAAATTGACGGCTCAGTTTGCCTCCAACCTGACTTCCCAGGTAGATTTGCACAACGTTGCGCAAGCCATGGGCATACAGATCGTCCAGGGGCCGCGCCGTGGTGCCAATGCTTACGCTGGCCCGCCCCCTTTCGCGGTGGCCAACGGCTGCCCAGCGCAGCCGAATCTCGACGTCACGACGGCGTTGAATCCCAAGCAGTCTTTGCAAATCCAGCTGCTGAACCGCCGGCTTGGGACCGTGATCGTTCGCGGTGGCCGGGCGGTTTTGGACACGTGGATTGAAGAATTGATCCTCTTCCTAGGGCCCGTGACCGATTTACAGTCGCCCGTCCCTCCGGCCTCATCCGCGTCCCTGCTCTGCGCGCCGGCCCCCAAGAGGTCGGCGCGGCAGATCTTGAGCGAAGCGGAAGCCGCCGACCAGGGTGGAGGCCCGCGGGCCTTCCAGTAAGGGCGGGCTGCTGACTGCCTCCCGCTCGGCTTGCATTGGCGCTGTGTGAATTTTCGGCGGGACACCCCGCTACATGTCCTCTGTTTTTTCACAGCCACTGGAAGCCTTATGAACCGTATTGTTTGCAGCGTAGCGGTAAAACATGCGTGTCCAACACAGTGCCGCCACGTGCGTGTGTGCCCTTGTCTGGCGCGTGCGCCCTACAGCCCGCGTTGCATGCTGACGTGCTCCTTGTTAGCGTGCGCGCGAGTATGGTCCTCCATGCAGTGTCTCGGCAGCTTTGCAATCAGGGAGTCCGTACGCGCATGTCCGAGTTGGTTGATCAGTGTTGCAGTTGCTCTTGAGTTGTGCTTCGCAGTCCTTGACACGCACCGGCTCGCTGATTGAGGCCGTCCTTGCCCCGTGTACGTGCGTGCAAGGTTTACCATGCATGCTGTCATCCTCTCTGCGCCCCGCCACGCCCTGCCCGTCTCGCTCCGCCCTCAGCCGTACAGCAGCCACGCGGCGAACCCGCCGTGCCGCCCGCGGGGGCGCTCGCCGCGCAGGGCGGGAAGTGTCCAGCCATGGACTCCTGTGGGCCTGAATGCCCCGCAAAACCTCTGCGTGACTTGATCTTGCGCTGGCTTGGCACGGAGAGCCGCGGCCTAGAAATGTGTGCGCTCGCCAAAGACTGCGATGCACTGCTAGCTACCTGCCCCTCCCTCCCGCCCCCTCTCTTGCTCTGCTGCAACGGGGCTGCCGCTCCGCTTGCGGCCCTAGTGTCCGCACTTTCGTCGCTGCTGCGCCGGGAGGTCGCGCCCTCGCTAGCGCGCGCGGGCTTGCGCCAGCAGCCCCGGCAAGTTGTCTCCCCGTACGCTGGGGGAATCCGGCTGGGGGATGCCGTCCCGTCGCGCCCCGCCGAGGGGCCCGAGCCCTGTAGCTCCGTCCGCCTGGAGGTGCTGAACCCCGGCCGCCTGGGCTTCCTGGCCCTGGGCACTGATGTGTTCTTGGAGTGGCGCCTCCACGCTGTCGCCCACGTTTTATCCGGGAGTGGCGCCGACATTTGCGTGCTTCCGGGTGCGCGCCTGCCTCCTGGGGCAGTTCTGCCGGCGGGCTTCCCGTTCTCGTGGCTGGGCCCACGATCGGTCTCTTGGGGCGCGGTCGGTATTTTTGTGCGCACCGAGATTGTCTCGCTCCTCCGCCCTCTCCCTGACTTGTCCTCTGACCGCGCTCAGTGGTTTGAGTTCTGGGGTGATGCTGCTCCCGGCGCGCCGACTCCTGGCCCGAGCTTTGTTTTCTGCGCGTGCTACCCCGCCCCGGGCGGCGATGTGGCGACGTGGTCGGCTATTGTTTCCTCCGTCACTGAGGTACGCGCGCGCCACCCGGGTGCGCGCGTCCTGATCTGTGGCGATGGTAACGTCCACCTGTCCTACGTCTTGCAGCATCCTCCTGGCTGTGCTTGCCTCCACTGCCGCCAGTCGGCGCAAGACCGCACCATCGAGGCTATGATCACCGCCGCCGGCTTTGTGGCGTGCAACCCGCCAGTTGCCACGCATGACTCGGGCACGTGCATCGACCTGATCCTCGCCGAGCGCCACTGTCTCATTCCTGTTACTGTCGCCCATGCGAGTGGTGTAGATTCGGACCATCGGTTGGTCTCGTGTTCGTTCCCGTGCGCCTTCCGCCCCCCGCAGCTGTCAGGGCTGTGTCGCGTGACGTGGCGCACAGATGGCCAGTGGGACGATGTGCTGCTCGCCGTGGCGCCTGTCCTGGCGTACCTGGCTGACGCCGTCGAGTCCCTCATTGCCTGTGAGTGGCTGCGCCCTCCGTGGAGCGGGGGGGGCGCCACTAAGAAGCAGCGCCGCGCTTTATTGGACGCGGCCGCTTGGGCGCGCGACGTGATTTACGTGCTGGCTGGGTTCGCGGCGGGGGCGACTAAGGCGTCCGCGGCAGCCCCCGTGCGCCCGAGTAGGCCTCCGCTAGACCCCGACGCGTACGAATCGCAAGCTGCTTTTAAAAGGGCTGTTGCGCAAGCCGCGTGGGCCGAGCGCCACCTGGCGTTTAAGCGCTTCTCCGACCTCCGCACGGTCTCCCCTGGTTTGGCCGGGCGGTTTCTTTCGGATTTTTTTTCGGTCGCGGAACCCCTTTGAAATTGCGTTGGCCGACCCGGTCGATGGGCACCCCCTCAGTGTGGAGGAGATGCTCGAGGCATTGCAGACTGACATGATGGACCGCGTGCGCAATGATTTCCCTTGTAGCCCGGAGGAGCAGCGCGCGCAGGCCTGCGCGGTTTCGGCGATCCGGTCGGTTGGCGCTGGCCCTGCCTCTCCGGGCCTCGCCCTTTACTCGACCACTGAGGTGGATGCCGTCTTAGACAGCTTGAAGACCACCTCCTCCGCGCTCCGCGGGTGTTTCGCTTCTGTCCGGTCGGCGGTGCCAGAGGGCCGCAGGGTTACCCTAGCCCTCGCGAACCTTTCCCGGCAGTGCGCCATTACGAGCACCCTGTGGTCGAGCCGGCAGGTGACTCCCCTGCACAAGTCGGGCCCCCGCGTCGTCCGCTCCACTTTGTGCTTGCGCCCGATTTCTATTTCGGCGGTCATGACGTCTGTCGTGGATGGCCTGTGGACGTTGCGCAACGCCCCGCTGTTACAGGCGTACTGCGGAGTGGCCCAACAGGGCGGAGTGGGTGACCCCCTCTCTCTCCTCCTGGCTCTTCTCCTTCATGCCCAACTCCGCTGTGCCCAGGGCCTGCCCACATATTGGGCGGTCACGGATCTTCAGTGGGCGTTTGATGTTGCCTCCCACCCCGCCATGCTCCTGAATGCCTACGAAGCAGGTGTCCGTGGCCATGATTGGCTTCTCCTTGACGATTTTATGTCGTCCGACAACCAGTACATTGCGCTTCGCGGCCACATCTCTTCTTTGTTTTCGCTTGGCGGCGGCACGGCGCAGGGCCGTAGGTTCAGCGTGGGTGTTTTCAACGCGCAGCTCAAGTGGCTGGCGGAGGAGGTGTATCGCGTGCTGCCTGGGAGCTGTGCTGCTTGGGTTGAGCCCCACCTGCGGCGTTTGTGCTTAGCGCTTCCTGTGCCTGATTCCCCTGCCGCGTGTGGGCCAGCGCCGCCAGCTGTTGGGGGCGACCTCGAAGCCTTGGCTGTCGAGGTGGCGTCGGCAGCTGCCGCGGAGCAGGCGCCCTTCCCGAGTGCCGTGCGCGCGATGATGCGCGGTGCCCTGCGGCTAGCTTCTGAGGCCGACAGGGCCTACTTGATGGACCGCCTGGGCACGGGCCTTTTGCCCCCACTGCAGTTTGTTGATGACCTCACGGTTGCCACATCCTCGCCGGGGGCTCTCCGAGCCATCGTGTCGCGGGAGCCATGGTCAGCCTGCTCGCGGTACGCTAGCCGCACCCGGTCCATGTTTAATTACAAGACGGGGAAAACCGCGGCCATGGTGATCCTTGACAGCCCCCCGCCGGGGGACATCGGCTGCCCAGTGGTGGATACTAAGGCCCTGCTGGGGGTGCTCTTTGACTCCCGGCTCTCTTTCCGCCCCCTGCTTCGGGCTACGCTGGCCAAAGGTCATGAGCTGTTCGAGGCGCTGTTTTTCGCCGGCGGGTCTGGGGGCTTTGGTCTCCCAGTCCTGTGTGCCCAAGTGCCGTCGCGCGTGGAATCTGCCTTGCTCTACCCCTCCCCGTTCCTCTTCCTGGCCGAGCGGGCGCGTTTTTCACTCGATCATTTGCAAGCGTCCTGGGCACGGCGTTTGCTCGGATGCGCTATCGGCCCAGAATTGCCCGGCGCGGTTGTCGTAGCGCAGTGTGGGTGGCAGCTGCGCTTGGGCACTAAGATGCTTGAGCGTACGGTCCTCGCTCGCGCAAGGCTGCTCCTCCTGCCCGCCGAGCACCCGGGTGCCAGTATGCTGACAGTGGCCTCGGGCACGAGCTGCTCCACGTGGGCGAGCGCGGTCCGGGCGTGGATGTGCTCTCTGGATCCTCCCCTTCCTGATGTGGTAGAGTGGCCTTTCGCCGGACCTCCGGCGTGCGCCAAGGCGCGCGCTGATCCTGCAGCGCGTCGTCTGCTCCTCCGGAGCTACAAGTTTTATGTCGTCCGCCCTGCACTCCTTAAGCTGGATCTTCTCTCGTTCCAGCGGGCTACTGCAGATGCCCTGCCTGTCTTTCGTCTCCCGTTCTCGGCGTGGCTGTCCGGCCCGCCGGGAACGCACTGGAACCTTTTAGATTTGGCACTTGGCCCTGGCTCCTGGCTCCAGTTCCGCCTCTGGTCTGTGGTGCGAATGTCTGGATGCTGGCCTCTCCAAGTGCTGGGGGCCCCGCTCTGCGTTTCTACGCTGCCCCGTTGTGGGGCTTGTGGCGCGCGTGACGTAGATGTGTGGCATGCCCTCTTTTCCTGCTCAGCCTCGGCTGAACTTAGGTCCGCTCTGTGGTCTCGCCTCCCCTTGCCTCCTCCCTCCTGTCCTGCCCAGGTTTCTCAGTTTCTCTTCCACCAGTGCCGCCCGCCAGCGGAGCGCCGTGAGCATGTCCATTTTGTTGCCACGGCCGTGCTCTTGGCCATGACTGGTGCCATGCATCATTAGGCCCGGCCTGTTTGCGGGGCGCCCGGCGTGAGCCCCTGACCGGTGCTTGGGCAGGGGGGTGCCAGGCGTGGGTCGGCACCGTCGTGGCCTGCGCCCAGGGGGGGCGAGCGCGCAGGTCGACTGTGGTCCGCGTGCGCGCGGTGGCAAAATGCGGCTTGGATCCTCTGCTACCCGCGCCGCGTGCGCGCGCTTCCCACCGTGCCTGCTGGCCTGTCCTGCTTCTCCTCTGCGTTTTCTCTGCCTCACAGTGGTGATGCGGCCCCTGCGGCCCGGTCTGCGTGCAAAATCCTGCCTTACTGTTGTGGTCCCATCGCACATTCTATCTTGTTGTATGCTTCCCAGCAGGTGTGTGAGGGTGTGCAGCTCCGTGCAAAAGTCCATGCGTTGTTCCTGCTTCACTGTCGTGATGCGGCCCTGCGGCCCGTACTGCGTGCAAGTGTCTGCCTCACTGTTGTGTTGCGGCCCCTGCGGCCCGTGTTACGTCCTTTTCCTGCCTCACAGTGGTGATGCGGCCCTTTGTGGTCCCATTGACCTCGTTAGATTTGACGGTATCGTCTCTCGCACATTCTATCTTGTGGTTTGCTTCTCGGCATGTGTGTGTGGGTGTGCTTCTCGGCTTGTGTGTGTGTGTGCAGTGCAACTATGCCACGACGTCCCTTTGCGATCGTTGGATCTGACTGTCCGTTTGGTGGAGCACGCTTCCCGTCTGACCTCTGGGGGGGGGGCTGTCGTCCAGTGCCCGCCTCTGTCAGGCAGATTTCGGCTGACCTGCGAGGGGGCTGTTGTCTCTGTCGTCGCGTCGTCGTCGTCGTCGTCGTCGTCGTCGTCGTCGTCGTCGTCGTCGTCGCCCTCTCCGTCGTCTCGTTGGTTTTAGTGTTGTCCCTTGTCTCGTCGCCGCTCTTGCGTGGTATGCACTCGGAGAAGGGGAGCAGCGGTGCGATGTTGCATGCTTGTTGTCCTCTCATTGTATCCATCTGTTTGCATCATGTGGTGCCTGTTGTTTTGCTTGCACTTGTTGCTTCTCTTGCCCTGTTCTCTATCTGCTGGCCGCGCACGCGGGGCCGTCGCCCTAGCGTCTCCATTTGGCTGGGGGGGCCGCCCTCCTATTCGAGGGCAGGCGCCGTCGCCGAGGGGCGCCTTAGGGCGGGTGGGTCGGCGTGGGCTGCGAGCTCTCTTCTTTCTCAAGGGGAGCCTTACGAAGGGCGGTGAAAGACCCGACCCTAGACGGAGGCACCCTGCGCTCCGCCTCGCCCACTTCTCTCTGGGGGGGGGTGAGCCGGGGCGCCGCGGGGGTCCGCGGACCGGGCGCGCGCGGCGAGGGCGCGCGGCGGGCGTCCGGCCTGTGGCCGCCGCAGCGGAGGCCAAAAAAAAAGATTGGGGTTACAGCCTGAGCCGTGTTTCATGCGGGCGCGGAGCGCGCCCGGAGGCAGACCGAGCAAGACCCAGTTGATCAGCCTAAAGGTTCCTGCAGGATCTGTTGCGGCGGCCCCGTACGATACCCCATCTCCCCGAAGGCGTCCACAGGTCACCACCGGCTGAGCTGTTGAGGGTGGTTTTGGAGTCGGGGCAAAAATCGGAGGCGCAGTGGTCGGGGCCGGTCTTGTGGGGCACCGTCCTGGGTTGGAGGTTTTGCCGGCACGCCTCCCCTTGTCTGGTGACGTTGGGCCATCTCGCAAAACAGATTCCCCAAGGAGGGGCGCAGGCCCGCACTCGCCGGAACAAACATACAAACAACAAATCTACGCGCGCGAGATTTCTTTCCCAGCAGCAAGCCGAGAACTCAGCCACCAGGGCACGGTATCGCATGCCGAGAGGGCAAGGATTTCCACGCCGAGAGCGCCCCGCTTCGCCTGCAGGGGGCGCGCCGGGGCGCTGCGAGTGCCCGGGCCGGCGGCGCGGGCGCGCGGCGCGCGGCGCGTCGTCGGACGCGTGGTCGCCGCTGCGATGCGCGCCCCCCCCCACCCCCCCCCTCCCAAAAAAAAAAAAAAAAACGCCTGCCCGGCCCGGGCTTTGCCAAGATTGGCGAGCAGCCAGTTTGCTTTACGTCGCCCGCGAGGCGTGCGCGTCTTGACCAAGACTCGCGCGCGCGTCTTCGTCTAGCGGCTGGCCATGCGCGAAAGGAAGAAGCCTGAAGCATGCTTTTCCGGTGTCGATCTTCTTCGCAGTACTTCCTTCTTGCTTGCGCGAAGTTTTTGTGATGGGCGTGCTGGGCTCGGGGGGCAGCCCGCTGCAAGTGGCGTGCGTGCACCTTGCGGGCGGCCCCAAGACGACGACACGCACGACCGGACCGTTTTACGATTGCCTAGATGACGCGATGTTGGCCCTAATGGGCGCACCTCAAGAAGTCGGGCGGCTTGTGTCGGTCACGCCACATAGATCGCACGTGCAGACTGCGCCACGCGGATCACGACATACACATTGTTTGACACAGGCGCCGAAATTGCAATGATACGAGGTCCACGCGAGGTGATGCTACTAATCGCTAGCGGTCCCCCACCCTTCCCAGTTTTTTTGTTTTGTTTTTTTTTTGTTTGCCACTTCTCCTCTTCACTCCTCTTCTGTCCTCCTCAGCTTCCTTCTTCCTCCAATCCTCCTCGCTACTTCCTTGCAGGATGGCCGCGCTGCTGCTGACCCCCCCTCCGACCTCCGATTTACATGTTTACGTGCATGACCCCCAGCGGTCTCACGCTTACGCAAGGCTCACCTTAGGGGCGAGGGCTGGCGGATGATATTTGCATTGAGGCCGAAAAACTTCCACCATCAGAGGAAACAACCGAAAGGCGAAATCTGACCGGCAGCTTGGCTGACAGCGTCTTGGAAAGTATATGGTGGGTGGCAGGGGGTGGTCTGCAGCGCGCTCGAGCATAGATCTGCGGATGCAAGCATAGGGGGCGCCCCACGCCTTTCTCTGAAGACACATTTCACAGACAAGCACTCTCCCTAGCGGCGTCGCCCTTTCCCAATGAGGTCACCTTCGGAGTGAGGGCGGGCGGACTGGCGGTAGCAATATCGAAACATTTCTTTTGAGCGCACAGCTGCTCGGAGGCAGTCTCCTGCGAACGCTGGGGTTTAGGATTGCCGCGTGGAGGTCGTCCAGCATGTGGTTGCGACCTCTTTGCGGGGGGCGCAGGTCAAACTTCGGTCGTGCGTGGACCAGCTCAGCGGGGTCCAAGCCAGCAGTCCTGAAGCTGAGGCAGCGCTGATGTGCGGGAGCCGCCTCATGTACGACCTTTTGGGTTCTTCAAGCGGGTTCGTCGTGGCTGTCGGATTGGCAGGGCCGTGTCCCAGGATGCGACCGACTCCTCTGCTGACCTCGTCGCCAGCTTCCTCCGTGGCGACTTGGACGATGAGGCGCAGGGGATCATTGTCATGTCGGAGGCAGCCATCGCCGGCGGCATGGCGCAGTCTGCCTCTAGTGGGCCAGGTGGGTCCACGAGGCACTTGTGCGTGGGGCCGGGACGCCTATCGTTTCTCAGGGCTTCGCACATTGCAGAAGGTGGCCGATGATCGAGACGACCGTTGCCAGCCCTATGAAAGAGTCGACAAGTGCATGGACGAATGGCGCACACAAGTAGGTCTTCGTGGTTGCAGCGATGTCCCTCTTCCAGTGGGTTTGTCCTCGTGGGGGGCGCTGGAGCCGTTGTCTGCGCGGCAGACCAGGTCGACGCTGCGCAGCTAGTTTCAAGCCAACGGCGACCAGCCAGGCCAAAATCCACTTTCGGGCACTGGGTGCTGTCTCCGACGTGGCGCTGAAGACCCTGGCGTTGCTTTACGCAACCTGTGAGCGCCTCCTGCGCTGTCCGTGAGACCGTGTTCAGACGCGCGGTTGATTCGCCTCGGCATGCCCTCTGGAGGCCATCGCTTCATTGCTCTTTTGACACGTTGGTTCGCAGTTGGGGTCGGCTGCGCCGACTCCTTTCCCAGGCCTGGGCGGGGGCGGTGGGGGAGTTCTCAGTGTCTGTCTCGCTCGACATGTAGAAGTGCTACGAGTGCATCGTCTTAGCTGGGGTGCTGGGCGAAGCCCGAGCCTGTCAGGACCCTTTGGGATTGTTGTTGAAGGTGTTGTGTTCGCATCGGGATCCTCAGGCTGTGCAGGCGTTCGGGTCGGTGCGTCGCTCGGTCGCTGCGCACCGGGGCATACTGGTAGGATGCGGTTAAGCGAACTCGATGATGCATCTGTTGCTGCATCGGGTCGCCACGAGATGTTGCGAGTTGGATCGGGCCCGATACGTCTGGGCCCTTGATGGCCGCTGTCCGACGGTTCTCGGGCAAAGCTTCTTCGGCTGGGGCTCGCCCTGCAGATGGCGAAGAACGGGCGCGCTGCCTCCGCTGTCCTTGCGGCGGCCAAGGTCGGTCCCGCAGCCGCAACCATTCTTCTGAATAGCCACCGCCACATGAAAAACCTTGGCCACGAGGTTTTCTCGCGGCGTGCGTTGCGCGTACAGGGGCGCAACAGGCTTCGAGGCGCGCTGTCTCGGAGGCGCAAGATGCTTGCGCTGAAGTGTGGGGTCCTTGGTGAGGTCGAGTCGCTTCTGCGCGCGGGGGTGCTCCCTGCGGGCGCCCGCAGGGCGGGCGTCTCTGGAGTCGCGGACAACTCGCTCATGGCCAGTCGCGCGCTCGCAGGTGCTCCGGTTGGGGCCGAGCGCTCGGGGCCACTGACAGCGCGGCTCTTGGCGCAGCGAGACCCACGCTGTGATCCAGCGTTCGATGCTTGCCCCTCATTAATTTCCCGATATTGTCGCTGGTTTGGTGGGGCGGCAGAACCTCCCCAGGCAGGCCCCAGAGGGCCTGGGGTGTTTTACCGGGCCGTGTCCAGGCCAACCCTGCCTGGAAATGTCGCGAGGGCCCCGTCTCACCCGTTTTGCTGAGCTTGCTGCGCGTAGGCTGGCACATGAGCTCAGCCCACACTACCGCCAGCGTTGAAGGCCATGTGCGTAAACTGCTGCGCGAGTGTCCGCACGATGTGCGCGCTGCCCTTCGGATAGGCCTCTCGCGCTGGCAGGCGCGCCGCGTCTGGCAGCGCGTTCCCGAGGACGTTTGGGCCGGAGGACTTCGCCACGGGGTTCTGAAGATCTCGGGCCAGAAGCGCCAGGGAGCCCCCCGATGCATCATAGGCTCCTCAATGTGCACCCCCTCGCGTCGAAAAGCATCAGGTTTGATTGCGTTCCGACAGTTGCCAGTTTTGTGGCAAAAAGGGAGCAGGCGCGCTAGGCCAGCAACTGTGCGATTGCACGCCAGTCTTGGATTGCCCCAGTAGGAGTGATGCGCGCCATCCTGATGACGTCGTGGAATGGAGGGGTATACTCCGAGATATGACTGGGCTTGGAGAGACCGGGTGGGGGAGTCTTGAGCTGGCCGATGGGTTTCCCTGCCAACAGGTCCACCGCCCATTCCTGGGGGCTCGCCCGCGCGCCTCGGGGGAGGCGCATCCATGCCGACGGTTCTGGGCTGGCGAGCTCCAGCCCAGAACTTAGACTGTGTGGGTTCGCTGCTGCTGAGTTGGGCCCTTCTGGGCCCCCGATTCGGGCCGTCTGCGGGGCTCTGCCTTGCCGGCGCCAGTTGGTGCCCAGGGCTGCCGGGCGCTTCGATGGGCCCACCCCAACGCCCAATCCCTAACGCCCGGGTGGCCGCAGACCATTTCAGCGCTGCGACTGAAGGGCAAGGTTGGCCGGCGGATCTGGCCAGCGGGACGGCCCAGCATGCAGATATCTGACGCAATATTTTTGGGCTGCACATGGACCGACAAGCGCGTCCCAGCTTCCAGTTGATCAAGGCCCACCTCGAATTGGATGATATCCTGGCCCTGTCGACTGCCCAGCAGATCCAGGATTTCCTCGGCAATCTTTGGACGGGTTTTTGTTCGCCCGAACTGGATCCAATTTCCACGTGGTGGCCACGACTGTAGTTGCAGCTCTGAAGCAGCATCTTGCAGACATCAGGGATGATATTGACTTCCTGAGCCGTTTTGCCAAATCGATTGCGTTGTTTTCCCTTGAGCTCTCGGCCCCCGCCCCCTTGCCTTCGCCGCGGGCCCCTTTGCCCCGCGCGGTGCTGGTTCAGCGCGAACTGCGCCGCTTTCCTGACCTGGGAGAGCGGAGATGCAGACAGTGCAATTTGATGGCGCGCACGCGCGATTCCCTGCTGCAGCTCCGTTCAGGCAGCAGGGAAACGCGCGCGTCGTCAGCAGTCCAGTCGTTTTTGGCTTCTGAGTTCTTCCTCGCCCACGGGGAGCAGGCGGCGCCAGAGGCGTCCGAGGCGTTGCAAGAGGCGACGGGGTTGGCTCGCGAGGTCCTGGGGCCCGTTCCCGAGCTTGCACCGCCCAGGGATGCTGCTTTCAAGAGCTGGCGCGAGCTGGGCCGGGGGATGGGGCGCGAAGGTCGCGCGGTCTTTTGCTCGCTATGCAGTGGTCACCTACTTTTACCCGACGGGCGCGGGAGAGGATTTAGCGCCCGATGCAATGGGCGCAGCGTCGTCCCCAGCACCCTTTCGAGTCAGGCCCTGAAGATAAAGAACGCTTCGCGAGGCCTGAATCCCAGGACTGGGCCGGCCCTGGAACCCCTCAGAGGCCCCCGGCACACAGTCCCCACCGCTGGTGCAGCTAACGCGTGCGTGGCAGCGCCGGCTGGCCCCGCCCTCAGCGCCCGTGTCGCAGCCGTCTGGCTCGCGCCAGCTCGAGCGCTCCTGATATCCTCTGGCCTGCCCGCTAGTCTACAGACCTGCGCGCGTCGGCCTCGACCCCACGAGCCACCTTCCTCCTCGCCCTCCACCCCCCCCTCGCCTTTTTCCACAATTGCTCTCCGTTTGCTGCCCCCCCCCCCGCCCCCGAAGAGCGACGGCCGCGCAGGGGGGCCGGGCCCGGCGAACGCGGCCGAGGGGCGGCGCCTGCGCGGCGGACGGGCCCCCGCGGCGACACGGGGACGCGTCGCGAGTTCCGCGCGCCTTGCACCTCCTGAGGGCGGTCGGGCGGTCGTCGGCGACGCGGCCGAGCGCCCGCGGCGCGCGCGACGGCCCAGATCCTGAAGCGATTCGACGATTCCGGCTTGGTCTCCCAAGCCAGGAGGGCCGGGCGCTGGAGGGGGGGCCTGGGGCAGTGTTCAGCAGGAGATTTTGCAGAGACCTTCGCATTGTGAGAGGCTGTCTTGAAAAGGCGGCCCGGTCGTGCTGGGGGTGGCGGGCGAACGAACCGCAAGCGATAGTCGCGCGGTATTTCTCTCCTCGCGATGCGATCGCGGCCGACGCGATGCTGACGCGACGTCTGGGCGCGGCTGGGGCGCAGCGATTTTGCAGGGCGCTGTCGGCGCCGCTGCAAGCTCGCGCGGCTCGCGATGCGGCCCTGTTCTTGCTGGCACGTCGTTGGGCGCTCGCGCCGCTGGGAAGGGGGGGGGGGGGGGGGGGGGGGGCGCATCCCAGCTGCGTGTATGCGTGCAAGCATGATTGTTTGTTGGCCTGATTGCTTGTGCGCATGCATGCATGCATGCGCGCGCGCACATGTGCGCATGTGTATGTATGTATGTATATATATATATATATATTAATATATATATATATGTGTATGTGTATAGGTATATGTAAATGTAGATTATTATAAATACAGAGAGAGAGAGGAAACAGAGAGGGAGAGAGAGAGAGAGAGAGAGAGAAATAGAGAGAGAGAGAGAGAGAGAGAGAGAGAAAAAAAAAAGAGAGAGTGGGAGAGAGAGAGAGAGGAAAGAAAGAAAGAGAGAGAGAGAGAGAGAGAGAGGAGAGAGCGAGAGAGAGAGAGAGAGGGGGAGAAAGCGGGAGAGAGAGAGAGAGAGAGAGAGAGGATACATTATATATATATATATAAGTGAGGGAGAGAGGGAGAGAGAGACAGAGAGAGAGAGAGAGAACCAAAGAGAGAGAGAGAGAGAGAGAGAGAGAGAGAGAGAGAGAGAGAGAAAGGAAGATAGGGAGGGAGCGAGAGAGAGAGAGAGAGAGAGAGAGAGAGAGAAAGAAAACAAAAAACGCTTGCGCTGCTTGCAGAATAGGCGCTGGGTTGCATTGGTCACCTTCGTCGACCTGGAGCTCGCGACAAAAAAAACTGTTCCTGTTCCTGGCGTGCCGGCGAGCAGTGGGGGAGCGCGCGGGGCGAACGATTCCGCTCGCGTGGGTGCCTGGCCAGCCGCGACTGGGGTGGGATCCCGCCAGTCTCCGCCACGCGTTGCGGCGGGTCGAATTGCCCGCGGAGCAGGGCAGTAAAAGTGAAACCCGGCCAAGGAGGATGCCAAGGAAACGTTTCGCGCGCGCGGCCGGACAGCTTGCGCGCACGGGGGCTGGCGCCCCTGGGATTGGGGGCGCGCGCGCGTCTGCCGCGCTCGCGATTGAGAAGGAACTTCGTCGCCTGGGCGCGCCGAGAGCACGCGGGGGAGCTTCTTCGGATACCGCGGCGCGAGACGCCCCTCCCGACGGGCAATGGGGTCGCGATGCCATTCGGGGATGGGACGGGGGGGACTGGCGCGATCCGCGCAATGTTTAGGAGGGCGGGATTTCGTTTGCGTCCACAGGGGCCTGCGCTTCCTGCCGTCGAGGCCGGGCACTGGACCAGGTGGCCAGTGGCGACGGAGACAGCCGCCTAAGTGAGCCCGCCTCCGATTGCCCCGCGCGCGCGGGGCTTCGGCCCCGAACCTGGCAGCAGGCCTTGAGCTCAGTGTAGGGAGGCATTCTCTGCGCGGCAGCGTGGGCGAAGCGGGTTTCGCTTCGGCGGGGCCAACGCATCCTGAAGAACGGCCGTCGCGTTGCAGCGCCGACCCCCCTCCGCCGCCCATCGCGGGGCCTGGTCCCGCAACAGGGCTAGGGCCGCGGCCTGCTCTCGGAGAATAGCCCGCGGGTCCTCTTCCATTCGGCGCCGATCCTCTGCTCTTTCGAAGGCGGCGGAGGGGCGCGCGGGGGGCCGCTGCCCCTCCGCGCCGCGGCGGCGCTCGAGCGCTGGGTCGCGAGGCAGCGGGCGACGGCGGAAT